ATATCATTTTCATCTAATATTGTTCTGACCTGAGGAAAGAAAGGGGACCTCGTTAGCGCAGTCGATAGGATGCTCGCTTTCAAATCCAGCTACGACTCGCTGCAGCCATGGTCGGTGTTCGAAACCGGGCGGTTCCCGGGGTTCCCCCAGCCTCTTTAGGAAATGGGTACTAGAGTGACACTACACTCTGGGATAAATGGAGGAATGTCGCTGTAGCTACAGAGTAACGTGGACTGCGAAACAGGCGGACCGTTTCTTATCAGCTGTCCGTACTGGTGGCAGAGCACTTGTGGTTTATAACCGTGTGCAATGACGCTGGTTCACATCTTCCGACTTTACCTTTTTTTATCATACATCAAACAATGCTATCTTGTGGCTGAAAACAGATCGCTCCTCCTTCAAGGTTGGAAAGACACAGCGGTCATTAACCCTGCCAACGTAGTATTTATATTCATGCTACTAAAGGATATGCGCAAGACACCGAAAAGAAACAAAATGAGATATACTTTTTTACATTATCAGTTTTTAAAAAAAAAAAACATGGCCAACTCAATCTTTCATATTTCCGTTTACTTTGTTTATCATTATTTCTTTATCCGTTTAAAAAAGGGGTAATTTTTAGTGGTTTCTGTTTGCACATGTATTGTCCCCCCGACTTTGTAAACAAGTTAGTATGGGACAATTTTCCCACCAATGACGCTTTGAGTATATGGTGCTAGACCCCCCCCCCCCCCAGTTTGATAGGTAAGCTGTGAAGATCAAGCCGGTTGCCTTTGCTTTCCATGACACAACCGAGTAGCTATTTGTAGCTGTGTCGATCTGGGAGTATTGAATCACTTAAAGCCTCTGCCTCGATGCAGATTTGAACAAAAGATCCCAGAGCCAGCAGACGAGCACCTAATCGTTGTCTTGCCTTAGCTTCCAGTTTTGTATATAAACTACAATTAATACATGGCAAGCTCTGAACGTTGATAGTTCTCTTTCTTATAAAATGTTCGTGCGTGCAAACGTTTAGATATGTGCACTTTAACAAAAAGTTGTGTGTGTCTTAGTGTATCTCTACATTGTCTGCATTTTCACTAAGGATAATCAAACCTAATCATGGCCTGCATACTGCAACAACGTAGACACTCAAGTATGTCCACATTTTGAGACAAATAACCAGCAAATTGGTGTCGGAATGCAGGTGAATGATTGGCTGCTACGAAACTTCTTTCTGTTGCCATGGTGATGATCTCATCGCAGAACATTATGCTAATGATCGATCTCTCTGCGAAGGCGAGGCGGAGATTGGAGCAAACGACAACACGATCGAACCAGCGCAACACAAACCTGTGTGCGTGAATATAGAACAATTTAAAGAATTTAGACGCACAGTCATTTCTTGTGTTGTTAGGCTGCATTAGCAAGTTTTGATTATTTGTGAATATGTTGTGATAGGAACTGAGAATTCTGCTGTAGTCGCGTAAGTTTTCATGGCATAAACCAAGTGTTGATTCTCTTAAACCAGAACGGGGAACCGGAACAGTGACTCATCGGTCTCTTTTGCAACCAGTTTCTGCTTCATTCCTTTAAATTCATCAGTTGGCAGCCATTTTCGATCTCAAACATGGGAACCGTGTTGTCGTTTTCTCCACCGTCTCGCCGCCCTCTGAGCGAAGATATCAATATCAACAACTACAATTATGAAGTGCTTAACAACCATAAGAATAACGCTATTATTAATAACAATGGCACAAACGGTAAGGACAAAAACTTTAAAAGACATTCAATATTCTTGAGTGCTTTAAGTTGGAAAAAATTCACAGTAAATCCAAAGAAGAAAGAAAAAACGCTAATGAAACTGTCCAACTCTGCGTTTTTGAATGGATCCAAGCTTGACAGCAACTACAACATCGAAAATTTCAACCTCAATAACAATTTTCAAAAATCCGTGTCCTGTTATAATTTAAAAGCAGTACAGGATGAACTTCCGGCTCCAGTGAAAACTACATCATTCAGGAAGCTTGAGAAACCACCAAGTCCAAAAAGAACTGTAATTCAAGCTTCTACGTCAGAGCTTCTCAAATGCTTAGGAGAATTCCTAAAGCGTAAGTGTAAACGACTGAAGAGATTCGAAGCATCTGATGCTATCTTGTGGCTGAGAACTGTAGACAGATCGCTCCTCCTTCAAGGTTGGCAAGACATAGCGTTCATTAACCCTGCCAACGTAGTATTTATATTCATGCTACTAAGGGATTTGTCGTCTAGCGAAATCCTTCATGAACAGGATCTACAGGCTTATGTACTCACCTGCCTGTACCTGTCCTACTCGTATATGGGAAACGAAATCAGCTATCCGTTGAAACCGTTTCTGGTGGAGGAGAACAAGGATCGTTTCTGGGACAGATGTCTTCAGATTGTTAACAAACATAGTTCTAACATGTTACGGCTCAACAGAGACCCGGGCTTTTTCACAGATATATTCAGTGAACTGAAATCATACTCGCCCTGTTTATGATTCAGTTATCCCATGCTTATGCGCATCTAATTGTATTCCTTTGTTGCGCCAGCTATACCGTCTCATGTATTGTTACATTAAAACGAGATACTCTAGACAGGGAATATTCTCCTACATACATTTTAAATAATAACGTGCTGTTCTGTATCGATAGTACCCTCTGAGCGATTACCATGACAGTGTTGCGGGTTAAACCCTTGCAGTTGTAGCACTATTACTACTATTTGTATCAGGACAGCTCTGAGAGTCGACATGAACCTTATGCATGTTAGCCGTATGATGCTAGGCTTATATGCTAAAGAAAGATCAACACTCTATTAGTGATATAATCAATATTAACAACTTTTCCCTCCTATGACATTTCCTGATTCCGATTTCTTATACTGGATTAACTCAACTGAAAGTCCAAGAAATATTTTTGAAAGAATGTCCACCTGAAAAGAATTTGATCATACAAACACTGATTGAGCAGGAAGTGTGCTGAATTAACCATTCCTATCCACAAAGGGGCTAGTGCTTCACTAAAGAAGCTAGTTAGGCAACAGTAAAATAATCTACTTATACCGCTTTCCCTCTCGAGAAAGTTCCTCATATTTGTACTGTACAATATAGTGTACATATATTTTCGCTTGCCAAGTATTCATCACGCAGACACTAGTATGTGGTTACCATATTATATTTAAAACACGCTCTTCTCACAAGGAACAAATAACATATCAATAAGTTCAAGTTGTATATTCTTAAAATTCTTATCTTTTAATTTCAAATTTTGTGTTAGAATGTGATGAAGTATGTAATATTTATTGTGATAAGTATATCGCTGTGCATAATTCTTTCTGAGGTTTTTTCCTTGATTTAGTTTTGTATATGTATGCATTGAATGACTTTTGTTTTCTGCTCCCGTATAGTCCATATAGTAAAGTGATGACAACAATGAAAAGTTTATGTATCATGCTAGGTGTAACAAAGACAAATTGACTTAGGAACGATGGTGTCAATGACTTTATAGGTAGACAACAGATCAAATGGTTTAATCATGTAACAAGATTTGCAGCAGACAGGGCACCACGGAGAGCAAGTGTTATACATATATAGCGGTAAAAAAGAATAGGGTTATACAGATCTAGCGATTACAGACAGCAGTGTTTTACAGATCTAACGGTAACAGAGCAAGTGATCGACCACGTAAAAGACTGATAGCAGAAAAATTAGAAATACTGAAAAATACTATCAGAATGGCGCCTTCCAGAGATCTCTTCCTGTCCTGACATTGCGAGGCATTCGAGAAGTAGAGAAACGAAGAACTGCTGGAACTGTATTGTATAGACCAATCAGCACTCGATGTGTGATATGGTCAGCATCATGCCGACTGCTTTTACTTCCCAAAACATTACCTTGTGCCGTTTACAGGCTGGGTCGACCACCTGAATGACGCCACTTTATATATATATATATATATATATATATATATATATATATATATATATATATATATATATATATATATATACAAAAATGTTAATATTTATGTTAAATGTATAAGTTGACAACCCAAGATGATCTGGTAAACCAGGCAACTTGCTAACAGAGGTGGTCAACATAGAAAATAGGGCTATTGTACTGATACTGTACTTCCTTAACCAGCTTATATTTGAAAACACAGCATCATATGAAATCATACATAACCACAATCAGATTATTTATTTTGTCTTGGTATTATTTTGGTTTTGTTTAAGCCATTGTTATATTGGAAGTGATCAAAATATAACTTACAGAAGTACTTACATTTAGATGGTTGTCTTCGACTGAGAATAAGTGGTGACCGTCCGAAAAAGAAAAATGAGAGTAACTTTCAGGGTTGGTCAACATAGCGATGTGGTCAGTTTTGGTTAATTCTACTCTCTATATAATCTGCTGAAGTCACGAAAACCGAAGTTTCACACACACAAAAAGTGATGAAAATGCTGTCAACGGCAGGAATATTTTTTGCAATTTTAACGCTACCGCCCCATTATTGGAGGTAATTTTTCTTTAAAATAAAACCCCAGCTCCCGCTTTTGTCGGGGCCCTAATATATTCCAATCTGTGTTCTGAACGAGGTTTCTGGGACCTGTCCCCAGATGATCCTCATTCGAATGGTGGCATTTTGTGTCACCGGATTTTTATCGCTCGATGGGATGTTCTGGTGGAGCCAAACGTCAATCAAAAAGAATATTTATCTTTAGGTGTTGAAAGATGCTAAAGAATATTTATCTTTATGTGTTGAAATATGCTAAAGAATATTTATCTTTATGTGTTGAAAGATGTTAAGACAGAAAGAACACTTTCTATTTTAAATCTTAAACTTGAAATAAATGTTTCAAATATTTGTGTTCTTATAAAACTATATTTAAAAACAAAGAAAAAACAAAATTAATGTTTCCTTATGATACTAAACAATTCAGCAAATAACTCCTAACAGGCAAAATATTAAGCACAATTTATACATGTGAAATTAATGCGTTTTCAACACAAAAGAAACTAAGATAATACTTTTTTTTTTTTTTGAGTGCCAGTTGTGATTGTAATTTGTTTCATACCTTGACACATTTAACAAAGTTTGTCTCATTTACGGCTCGTGAACAGTTATTCTCAGTTGTATCTATGTATGTATGTATGTGTTATTATTATTATTATTATTATTATTTATTATTATTATTATTATTATTAGAGACGAGATAATCATTTTTTTTTAAACAGTACGGTTTAACAGTGACATAGACATTTTGTTTAATGTTAAACTTCTTGTTAGATGGAGTCAACACACATGTATGCATGAAATAAGAACAATCGGTAACAAACCCACAGACTTACTTAAACAATATACATTTGTGTTATATTCTTGGTATTCTCTCATTGTTTTAATGCTTTTTTGTTTTTTAATATACAAATATGAATATGAAGTCAATTGTGATAGAACGACGTCTATATCATGACGAGAAAACACTTACAATTGTAATCGTAAAAGATTTAAAATAATGATGGGAAAACACGATTGTGGTTGAAGGATATCGAAAATGTGAAAAAAAAATAAAACATTGCAAGGTGTCAGTTTTATCGCATTTATTGCTAGACATAGCGGCCGCTGACTGACTAGACGTTGCGATACAGCTAATTAACATATACGCAAGGGCGAACGTATTCTTTCTACACACTAGTCTTGTGATTATTTCATGATGTGCATACATTCCACTGTGAATGCGTGCACACACTGTTTTAACTAGTCTGACTGGCTAATCCCCCCCCCCCCCACTTTTTTTTTTTTTTTTACTTCAAGTGCTATCTGAAGGCTTGACACAACCTATGGCCAAGCCAGTCGCTTCTTGGATGTCAGTCGAACACAACAAAATCAAGATACGCCGTCCACCAAGGAAGCTATAATTAAGGCACCCTTTTGGCCTATATCAAGTTCCCCCCCCCCCCCTCCCCATGTATTCTTCTGTCCTCAGATAAAAATATCTAAGATAGTTGTTTTGTACACCTTTTAATACAGACCCTGATTATTGGCAGTCTGTTGCTTGAAATAAATTGCTAGCAAACTGTTGCCTGCCTGCAGTTGGCTGGAATTGGTTTATCTCGCGTCGGTTAGCTTTGGGTCCGTCATTTAAAAGCTGATGCATTCTGGTTTTCTTTTAATCACACAGATGACGTAACTCAGTTAGAGTTTTACCCGCAAGGGTATGTATACATATCTTCGAGACAAAAAGAGGACAGACTATTAGAGTATTATAAGTCACCACATCTACGAGTATAAATACCTAGGAGACAAGTAGTTCGAGCTCTACATGTGAAAGTAATCGATAAACATCTATAGGTTGGTTAGTTGCGTATCCTTTACATGACGTTGCAGAACCAGCCCTAACAGTCTCTGGCTGTTGGGTGATTTTTCTAGGCAAATTTACGTCCAGTAGTTTGCCATTGCTTTCTGTTTACCACTGTCGAAACCTACGCAAGGCGCATGGCCCGCAGCTGGGATCAAACCCAGCATCCCGGCATTACGAAGCGTTCGCATCGACTTAGCCACAGAGCCGACTAAACACCTAGAGACTAATACAAAAAAAATTACTGACACTATACATGCAAACATTTCTAAAAATACCCGGAAACAGCACGAAGTTTGCTGTCGCAGTGAACCATCGGATCAATAAAGGGCAAGATATCAAAAAGCAGAAAAGGGGTGAAAAAGAAATCAATTAAAAATCATCCTACCATAAGAAATTTGCATTTGGTAAAACATCAAACAAGTAATTTTAATTTTTTATTGTCTACTCCTCTGTTTTGTTTTTAATCTGTACATTGCTTCTTTCAAGGGTTTTTCATAATATGAATGATTAGTGTAAACCTGTCGAAGCAGAACTGTGGACATTTTGTTTTGTCGAGTGTTTCATTGTGTGTGATCTTTCATCAAAGCTGTGAAGCTTCATTACACATAACATTATTGCTGACTCTTTCATATGACGAAAAATGGCTGTGAAGAATGTTTTTTGTGTGTCAAGTGTCACAATGTCTTGTAAATACATTAAAAATGAAGTGTAGCGTCCTGAGTTTTGAATTCTCTATAGATGATACTTTACTGTCAAATTATACACATTTTAAAGACAGAAAGAAAAAAATAGAACAGTTAGTTTTCTATTAAGTAATGTAACGACACCATTGTGACACCATACCATACAAAAGTACATTGTTTTAGACCAAGAACAAGATGGACAATCTTCAGGCTCTACAACACACGATGTGCCTTTGGTGAGGCATACCTTCAGAATCTGAACAGACAGCTCTGAGGAAAAACAAAGTACTTTGTTTTTACATGTTGTGCATTTGGTGATACCTCCAAATCTGAACAGACCTCTGAGAAAACAGTAGCTGTTGTGAATACTATTACCCAGGGTGTCTTTAACCAGATTTTTTTCCCACCACTTTGGCGAATGGGGCATATAGTTCTAAACTTTCATTTTGATAGA